CGATTCAGGACTCGCTCCCAAGTGGTGTTTTGTATTCCCTTCCAATTTAATTCAAATTTCCGTACCTTTAAATATCTAATGGAGGAGCAACAAAAACACTACTCAGGTGCCAAACATCAGGGAGGCACGACACCTCACCAAGAGCTTGAAGGGCCCTTTTGACATAGGTGTTCAATCTCCCCCTTTGGGTCCGATCCCGGGATATGCAGCCAGCCTCTTCAATAAGGGCTCAGTTTGACTTCCAAAAGGGTGAGGAAGTCAGCCAACAAAAGCGGGGGGTGACGCAAACAGCGGAAGCCCATCCGTCCGAAGTCCCAAACGCCTCTTCACAAACCCCATCGAGCCATCTCGCCTTCACAAACTTCGGCTTGTCATGGGAGAGCCCCTCCTTCTGCTCGATTCGCACGCCGTTGACCACGTTCCTGAGAGGCGAAAGGCGTACAAATTCCACCTGGGCTGAACCACCTGGGTGTGTCTTTGTTTGTGCACCCACCCCAAATGGTGGGCGTCCTCTTGGTTTCCCTTTACAACCAACCAAAAGGGTACACCCAAAAACAAGACAGACTCAAATCCCGAATCGTGGGATGGGAAGATGGGGCTCCATTTGGCCATGGGTCAAAAGCCCCTTTTCCCCCAGTGAACATCCCAATCCCCACTAAAATAGGTTCTAAAATGGGTGGTGAATTCACCTACCCCAAAATGGGATCCCAAAACGGTTTTGACAACCACAGCCATTTGGAGGAACACCAATGGCACGGCCGCCGAGGATCCAGGTGTTCGCCCTTGCATAGCTGTCCTTGTACCTCGGCGTCTCGAAAGCTGTAGGAACTTTCGGAAAGCCACAGCCGCTGGATCTTTTCTAGGGGCTGATTCCCCATTCTTTTCAAGCATCGTTCTTTTCAATAACCAGCCGTTTTCCCTGGGTTTCCGGAGGTTTTCCAGAAAGATCCCTGGAAAGAATGGGAAAGGACCCCTAGATCTTTAGAAAAAACTTGGGGTCAAGTGCTGAGCGCCAACTCTTTTGGGGGTCCTCAAGAAAAAGGTTGCTTGTGGGGCCCTTGTGCGGGTCACGTGCTTTCCCTTTCGCAAATCATGTCTGAACAAATTTCTGTAATTTGCAAATGGGTCTGTCTTCAAACTTCAAACTAGGGCACCCCAAAAAATGGTGAGTTTCCTTTTGGTGTCCATTTACCCGTCCAAAAGGGGTATCCGCAAAATCATTCACCGAATTGGCAGTAGGGAATTCCCAAAGAACCCCAATGAACAAGGGTGATGTTCATCCCTGCCATTAGAGTGCTTGGTTAACCATCCGCCAACATGAACATGAGATGTCATGCTCGATTAAATTAAACACCTCCGCCTGTCGCGTCGTGGAGCAGTAAGTGGGTCTTCCAACAGATCCCACGCAGCCTACCGCAGATCCACCAATGATTCTAGGGGTTGATTCCTCATTCCTTTCAACGCTGGTTCCCCTGGTTTTGTTTTACTGTTTCCTGAAAAGAAGGATCCCTGGAAAGAATGGAAATGGAAGGTAATTACTCCTAGAACGATCATCTTCGCAAACATCCTGCCGCTCGGCAATCTGCTGCACCGCCTTCCGGAAAGCTGGTCCATCAACCAAGCCGGCGGCCTTTTGCTGGTTCAACGAAGAAAGGACACATACACAAAAAGCCGAACACCTAAAAGGTAAGCTCAGTCTCGCAATTCAAAGACCACATGCAAACTGGTTCCACTAGTTGCTGGTGCTCAGCATAAAATGATGGAAGGACCCCTATAAATCATCCCGTAGTTTCCTTTAAGGGAATCCCTGGGTCCATTCTCACATTCCCTACTTGTCGCTCCAGCAAGACTATGTCGGTGTGAATTTCATGGGTCCAAAAAGGACCTGAAATGGACATCCAAACTCGGCAATTGATGTTCTCATGTCCACCTTTTGGGTGGCTCCAACTCTAAAACAAACCATGCCCATCTTGCCTGTGGCTCAACAAATGGTAGCCCTCATGGCACCTTATGCAAACACAGGCGCCTGTTTGCCCCAGCTGGTTAATTCTGAGCCATTCGGGTGTTGTTTTTGGGTGCTACCCCTTTGTGAGCTTGTTTCTACATGGAAGACCAAACAAAACCTCTTGCGCCATTCTTCGTGGGTCCAAAGACTCGTCCAGATCCTTCAGATCCGGGTCCCCGGCTCTGGGAAAGTGTACCCAGGAAGATTCGGCAGCGATTTCAGATCTGCCGGTGATACCTGCGCCTCGGCAAGGCTCACGCCCCACGCGCTGTTTGAAGGATGTGTGAATATCGCGCCCCCCATGTTCATGGACTCTTGCGAAATGGGAGCACCTAGTAAACCCCGCAGTGAGCTGAACAAACCCCTTCATAAACAGACTTGGCCCCAAGTGCGTCCAAATCGGATCAGAGTGACACCGAAACTGGGGAGCTAGCTTTGACGCCCCTTTGGCGCCAAAGCCATGTTGCCTCACTAAGTCGAAGAAGGAGCCCCCATCCGAATCCGTCCCGAAGAAGGAGCCCCAAGAGCGGCAAATCACAGCGCCAAGTGAACCCGCTGTTTGCTGAACCAAAACAAATAAAAGCAGTGAAGACAGTGAAGACACAGAAACGGCCACGGTCCCGCTGGGGAATCCCCCGCAAACGGCATCTTTTTTGGCCACGGTTCGTGCAGGGATCGATATGAGCGTGTCCCCCAATGACATTGACATTTGGTGAGCAAACCGTTTCCCGACGGTAACTTGGTGAGTATGCCCCTTGTCATCCCCCTGCCGATGACAATAATCGGGGTTTGTCTGGTTTGGGGACCCCCCCCCCAATGGTGGTGCTCCTTTGGTTTCCATTTAAAACCAGCCACCAAAAGGAATTTCCCCCAAACAAAAACACACCCAAAGGAGTGTCTCTTTTCTGAAGGTACCCCTTTTTCTGGTGGTCTTAAAGGGAAGCCAAAAGGAAGACCCACCATTTGGTGTTTTTTTTGTTGGGGGGGGCTCCCCCTAAAACAACACCCAGATGAACCATTTCCACCGCAGAAACCTCTTCCGTTCATCGCTCGGCCGAGCGGCCGTCATGGCCGAAGGCCTGAAAAGTCGAGGGCCCTTTGGACCGGCGCTGACCGTGCTGCGAGCCAAAGGAACCGCAGATCCAAGGAATCTTCACGGCAACGCCCCTTGAAAGTGGTTGGTGGACATAAATAACCAAAGAACATGAGGACCAAAGGCCATTTATTATTATTATTATTATTATTATTATTATTATTATTATTATTATTAGTAGTATTATTATTATTATTACTATTATTATTAGTATTATTATTATTAGTATTATTATTATTATTATTATTATTATTATTATTATTATTATTATTATTATTATTATTATTATTATTATTATTATTATTATTATTATTATTATTATTTAGTATTATTATTATTACTATTATTATTATTATTAGTATTATTATTATTATTATTATTATTATTATTATTATTATTATTATTATTATTATTATTATTATTATTATTATTATTATTATTATTATTATTATTATTAATAATAATAATATTTTTATTTTTATGTTTTTTTTTGTGTGTGTGTGTCAAAGTAGGAGTTCGAAATGGTGGTGTCCTTTTTGGTTTGCCTTAAACCAAGCTGAAAATGGGTACTGTACCCTCAAAGGAAGACACAAGGGAAGACACAAACAAAGGAAGACACAAACAAACCCTTGAGAAACAAACACGAGTCTTCGTCCCTGGGAAAATTGTTACGTGCTAAATGGGGTGTCTTTGCCCCTTGCTCCCCCGAAGCAGTCACTCTCACATTTGTGGTCGGGATCATCCCTTTCTAACCTTTATCTACCAGGGTTGTGATTGTGGCTCACAGAGTTCTGGGCAAATTGTGATCAAACTGCACAGAAGTCAGATTATCCAGTTCGGTGTCGACTTTCCACCCAATTCGGTGTCGACTTTCCACCCAATTCGGGGTCGACTTTCACAGCAACAAAACGACCGACTTTCACATCGGTTGCGGGAATTGAGAGTTCCCGGACAACCCCCCGGGTGCAGGACGATCTCCCCCTCGATTTCCATCATCTCGGGCCTCAGCGCGATTGGAGTGGTACTACATGGGCTGAAGCCAGCAAAGGGGCCAACCCTTTGTTGAAACATGGAACAACAACACGTCCAACCTTTCGAAAGATTACTATGAGTTGTAAGGGACTGAAACAGCCCATAAAGTCATGACCATCGGAGCAACATGTTTGTCATTAAGCCCCGAAGTTTCATTGCACCACGCGGCCTGGTGGAGAAATCTGTCCATCAACCGTACTCACTTTGGCGCCATCAAGTTGATGACGACCAAGCCCTGCAGGGTGCAACTCAATCAACTCAAGGAGCCACAAGCTGCAAATCATGACCATTTCCCGCAAGGCATGTCATCATGTGGGTTTGTGTCATGAACCCCCAGACTCCTCGGCTTCTGTTTGCCTTCTCGGCCCTTGAAATGGCACCCATCACTGCAATAAGGCACGAACCCAGGCTTCACCCACCCACACCTTGAAAACCCTTAGATGTTCTCCGCATCTTCTTCCACCGGGATAACATGAGACAACTTCCCTTTAAGACCAAAAGGGGGACAACAGATTTTCCTTCCAGCAAAGCGAAGTCTTTCTGACACCCGCGGATTTTTTCCGGTGGGGGGGGGGGTTCTATTGAGAGGTCACTCGGCCTGGCACCTTGTGCTTGAGGCGCCCGCGAGGGGGTGAAGGGGGCAAGGCCCGGCACCTCAAGGCATCGGACGAACAAGGCATCGGAATGAAGCCCTGGATAGTTGCGAAATCCGCCCACCGCACCAAAGGAAGCCTATGATTGTAAATGGAATGAAGCCTGGAATGAAGCCCTTCGAGAAATGAAGCCTGGAATGATGATTGTAAATGCCAACGGTGGTGTTCAGCCGAGCTCCTGTGGAGGCTTGCGACATCCACCAACCGCGCAGGAACCCTGGTTTCTGATGATATCGTAAATGCCAACAGTGACTTGTTGTTCATGGATTCAAAGTGGCACGAATTGGATTTCGCAACCTCCCACTGTATGCACTGCAACCGAATCTGTTTTTGGAACTGGGATTTACCCCGGCAACCAGGGTTTCAACTAGGGTTAAGCAACCAAAGATTGGACACCCCTCTTTTGGATGGTGTTGGGGGAAACCACCCTAAGTGTGAGACAGACCCATCTCACCCCGGAGCTCGGCAACCCACCGCCCCAACCCCCAACCCTGGCCCGGGCCTCTGCGTCGGGGTCCGGCCCCTCTTCGGGCTCCAAGTTCACATCGCCCTCCCAGGCTTGGCATTGGGTGAAACTGTTTGCTACTGTGGATGCACGAATCCTGTCAACCGCACCAGAGACCCAAGGGAATGATGTGATTCCCCTGTAAATACCCGCAAATAATGGCTTCCCATGGTATCCAAGTGGTGCAGGATGTTGTCCATCAGTTAGAACCCAGCCAAGAATAAAACGTTCCTGTCCACTAACATGGAACCCGAACCCGCCAGAGAACCCCGTTGAAAAGAGAATCGCTTGCAGGACCCCTCAGTCAGGCTCCATGTTAATGGACGGGCTGGTAATCGCCTGTTTGATTTTGCTTGGGGGCGGCCCGGTGTTGTTATTTCGGAAGGGATCCGGAGCTGGTCCAGCAGGATACTTGCAGCAGGCCAATCTGAGGCGATGGAACTCCTGGAAAAAAGAAAGCCCAACACCCGCCCAAAAATATACGACATACAATGCTAACCATCTACACGCGAACAACCAATCTTTGGGTCGACCAGCCCAAACCAAACCAAGCCAAACACACCCAGCAGCCAACCAACCCAGCCCAGCCCAACGGAGAATGGCTTCAAAATCTTCCAGCCCCTTTTAGTTGGCCTCCTCTGGGGCCATGTGCTCCTCCGCCTCCACCTCTTCCGGCGCGTCCGAGGGTTCCTGACCAGAAGCTTCCGGCACAGCCTGGCGGGGGCACAAGACACGGGTCGCCATGCGCCCGTAAGAGGCCCAACCATGGGCAAGGTCAGGTAAAATTCGACAAGCATTCCCACCCCAACATTGCACCGTTCAAGTTTTGAAAACCGCGTTGCGGACCCCCCCCCTTGCGCAGCAAGCCGCCTCAGGGATTCGAACGATGTTTTTGAGAGCAGCAGCTCGCAAGTTTTCGATCATCCTGAAGTTGCCTCGGCAGACTGCGACACTCGGCATCTTCCAGCCGGAAAAGCCAAGCGGCCCCGGCGCTCCCCGGATAAACGGTGCTAAACTATGTCTTTACAAAGGATGGTGCTTAACCGCTGGTTACCCGTGAATGGCCCGTGAATGGTGTATTTGTTGGCTGGGCCCACCTGCAAAGTGAGCGGGGCTCGGGGTTGAAGGCACCATCAGAGGCCCGGTGAGGCTGCATGCCAATCAATGCACTTTACGGTAATTTGTGACAAGGTGTCACATGCACAACAACAACAAAAAGCTCCAGAGAATTCGACAGCAACCAGCGTCGGTCTGACTGTTTTCACCACACTGCCTCAGGTGGGTGGGATCGTACGACAAAGAAGAGCGAATAAAAATCCTTACCGCGGGGCGGGTCTCCTTGCTGGTGTTTTGGGCTCTCACGAGACGTGGAAGTCCATTTTGCATCGGGTAAAGTGGGATTGGTGGAACTGTTGGAGTTCCGGCATTCCGTCGAATCCGACGTTGTGGGCGAACTCAATGTCGCCTATGATGCGGCACGTGCGTTTGTGCCACGCTTGCATCGGGGGCTGCAAGATTTGCCAGCCATGGGTATGAGCCAAGGACATATCGTGGCGGCTAAAAGGGTCAGCAATGTTGACAACATGTGTGGGTACACGTGCAATGTGCAATAGCAGCTGCTGACGGTTGTGCCAGGTCCAATGTGCTCCAAAGGTTGGTGCTTGCCTACCCCCCTGCGGATCGCATGTTTGGCCGCTTCGTTATCGCAGAGCTGAAGGAATGTGCTGGTAAGCCAGGGTCGAAAGCTGACCGGGGCGATCAGGGCCGCTCGGTGCCGCTGACCTGTTGGAGCAGGTTCGGTGGCAGCGCGCCTGACACGACTCTGGCACGACCCGGAAAAGCACGGCTGCCCAGCCGTTGTCGAAAGATGGTTGGGGGGTACGGTCGTGTGGCCATTGTCATCCTTGGCCCGCCATGTCAGATCACCCTGTTTGCAAAAGGCGTCTGTGTAGATGATGGTGAGGGGATGCGCCGTGTTGCTGGGTGATGGTCTGGGGGGAGCTACGCTGGAGGATGTTAAGCAGGCTCAAAATGGCGGCACAAGTCGGTATGTCTTTGTGGTACAGGGCCGACAAAGATCGACCGAAATTGCACTTCCTCGCGGTGCGTCCGGCAGTCTCGCAATTCATGCGTCCCTGTTCGAGACATTGAGACAGGGTTTGCATCAGGTGCCGGACCCGATCTGGACAAGGCCGGAGTGTGGCGTGTGTGTCGATGAACTCCCTGTATCTTGTGGGATGGTGCCGGAGGCGTTTTCATGTGGAAACCGAGCAACGAGTTCAAGTCACTGAAAGACTTTGTTTAATGAGCTTTGTGAAATGCTACTAGGCTGTATGGCGCCATAGTCATCCACATAGTGGAGCGTAGGTGTGAGGGTTATAGCAACGCGGAGAGCAGCACATGGTGGTGCGGCCACCTCGGGTTGTGTGACTGGGAGCTGACGGTACGAGCCATCGTGGCCACGTGAGGGTTGGTGCACTGGTGCGCGCACTGCAAGTAGTGGTCGGGTGTGTGATGGTATGGTTGATCGTGCATGGAACAGGTCTGGTTGTGGCCGCTTCGACGCCAGTCTTTGCCCCGCCGGATTTCGGGCCTCCCGTTGGAGCCGGTTTGTTGTATGCTGAACGCAATGGCCACAATCGGATTCGGGTGTAGTAGTGGAAGGAGAGTGTCGGTGTGATGGAAGGCGCGCAAGCGCGCCGTCTTGGTTTGCCAATGCGCTGGCGCGACAAACGGCCCTGCCATCCGACCCTGTTCAACTTCTTTGGCAATCTCTGTGCCCATGAGCGTCCAATGGTCATCAACCTTGTGTTGCTTGAGTTTGCGTTGTGTGTGTTCGTGGTTGAAGGAGCGTAGCCCGCCCAGGCTGCAGGGGTCAGATATTTGTGGTCCTGGCGTATATGCCAGTTGACCCCCGGCCGCAGCGGGCCAAGTAGGTCGAAGCCGTGGGACATCTTGTCGTGCAACGACTGGGTCTGTGGGTATTCCACCATGCAGAGGAGACGTGTTATGAGCGGGACTTGTGTGAGCATCGTCGGCAGTTGGAAGTGTCTCAAACTCGAACCAGAGTTGTGTCTCGTCCGACATAGCGTCTCGAAGGTCCGCAATGTCCGCACGACATTAGCTTGCAGGTCGGACAGATGTGGTGTGGACCGTTGCATGTCGATGGCCCACTGGGCCCTTGGGTTGCAGTTGTGGGGTCGCTGGACGGACATGCCCTCAAGATGGTCGCGCCAGTCGTTCTGTGGCATGTGTAGAATGTTGTTGCGCCGCGGTGGTGGTCCCCACGATTGGGGGTTGCGCAGCCAAAGATTGACCACCGTGCCAAGGGAGCCCTTGCTGACGTGTCGTATCGGCGGTCGAGTTCAGAAGGACGGTTGCAGTAGAAGCAGAAAGAAAGTCCACATGGCAGTCGGTACATCTTCGTGGGAATCCCATCATGGCTCGGGGGTCGCCACCTGCCAGTCATGTCCGTGTTTGCGGACAAGGAATTTGTGTTGGTACTGGCACGGTGCAAAATGTCGGTCACCCTCCCGCCACCTCTGCCACGTCGCGTCAGAGAGGTGCTGGCTACGCGGCGGTCGACCCTCGTCGGTGTCCGCCTGTGTGGTGAGGTAGTGGAACATGTGGCCGGACGTCAGCACGGCCGGGAAATCGAAATCCTTCAAACTTGGTGCTCCGGTCTTGCATTGTTTCCGACCCGGCGTGGTCTTCCGCATTCACTCTTTCCTACCACCCACATGGGCTCTGTCGAGTCTTTTGACATCCATCTAGCAGACCTCACCAGGGAGATCCCCAACGTCGAACGAGACATTACACTTGTCACAGGCGGCCCCCCGTGTAAAGACTACTCGGATATCAATGCACCAGCCCGGCCGGGCCGGCTCCCAGGGACTGTTCGACATCGCACTCATCATCCGAGAGGAGATCACTCACCAGTGGCCACATCATGCAGACTGACTTTTCTCGAGAATGTTGCGCCACACGCGGACGGACGTACAGGATCAAGCCTACAACCCGTCCTGATCAATGCGGCGGACGGACACATCATCTCTCGTCCACGGATCTGCACTACCGCAGACCCTGAGCACCTACACACCGTGGCAGTTTCGGCTCGACAACAGCCAGCCCCCTCCGGCACTTTTCAACGCCATTGCGTCTGAACTGCAGCCTTGACTGCCACAGAGCCAAGGACACGGCGCCGATCTCGTCGAAAAGGGAGATCAACATAATGGGTGTGCGTTGTATAAGTTGACTGGTGAGATGAAGACAACGTGCCCAGGGAAGGGGTTCCCTGAGCCGCGCTGTCCCAGGCGGGACTTTGTCTTTGCCGCCTTCCTTTGAATGTCGGCGGATTGTGCGGCGTATGCTGAGAAGGGCGTGGCGTTCCAGTTGCCCAGAAGAGTCGGGCCAGAGGAGTATTTCTATGGGGAGAAGCCTTTGCCGCCCCAGTTGGAGCGGTCTTTGCCCTTAAGCTGCCTGGATTAGGTGTAGCTTTGCGGTGACTGTGTCAGGATGTCATTCAGAGTGGTGGTGTCCGCGAGGATGTCCTTGGTGGCCCCGGCAAAGTTGCCAGCTGCCAGCGGAAGGTTTCCCACGCGTCCTTCACTTGGAGGAGGCGTTGTTGGTGTTTGTCGGTCTCGTCGCTGATTTGTATGAAGATCCAGGCCCACCGGATGGCCTCGAGACCATCCTGAGGGTCCCAATCTTTGGGGGCAGTCTGGACCAGCGAGTTGTTGGAGCCCGCTGGCTGCGCCGATCCTTGGTTGAGTTGTTGATGGTGCCCATGGCGGTGAAGGTCCGTTGTGTCAGGATCTCGCCCAGGGCAGGTGCCGTGTAGCGCTTGCTCCGGTGGTGTCAATGGCCCGGTCGGCATGGTTTCCTCGGGAAACTTGCGGCTGGCGGCGTTGATAGTCTGTGCGTTGTGTTGTCGCAGGAGGTCCGCGTACACCCCTGTGCATGAGAGTTCCTTGGGGACTTTTCACCTTGGTCGTGGCGTGTGGCTGGTGTTGTCTGTGACGGCTGGTTGGGTGTGGCTGGCGGTTGTGTTGTTTGCGCAGCCTGCATCAGACCCACGCAGCCGTGAGAGAGGCCGTGGTGCCTAAGACAAGGTCGTTGGACCCAAGGTGCAGGGTCTTGGGAGGGTTACCGAAGGCCACAGCAGTTGTGAAGCGTGTGACCCAGGCGCTGATCGCCTCTCCGTCGGGGAGCATGTGGGCTAGCGCGCCCACGGACCTGATGCGTATATGTGGTCGAGGTAGTGTCGTACATTGTCATCGGTATCCATGCCGGCTTCATCTAGGATGTCACTCAGGGATGGTTCGGCCATTGCGGTCGGAGGTCAGTCCAATCGTCGGATCCTGCGGGTTAGAAAACATTTGAATGTCATATTGAGGGTAACGAAAGCTGATCAGCAACAACCTGACAAGGGGGATGTAATGAAACCTGCCGGAAACTAAACGGAGTGGCCTTCAAACTGTGCTCAGCCCGTCGTCGATGTCCGCCTGTGTGGCGAACTTGAAACACATGATCCGCACAGGTTGGTTGCGGGCTGGGTTCGGAGCTTCTTGTAGCGGCCTGTGGCATATCGCCAGCCGCGCTGGGTGGCCCACATGGCGGAGTTGATGCAGTCCTCGTCGGTGGCCGCCAGGTGTGCCTTGTTGGAACCGGTGTTCACGACCCAAAAGGTGTTGTGCAACAGGGTGCTCTGTCGCTTGACCACGTCCTCGATCTGTTGGTGTAGTCCTTCGCCGGATGTGGCAATGATGGGCCTCCTGTGTGTAGCGCGCGACCGCCTCTCGGAGCCCCACCGGCCGATGAGTTGCACGGTCCCCTTGTTGTAGCCGAGTCGGGTCAGAAACTGAGCGCCTGATACGCGGCACACGTGCTCGTGGAACCGTTGGCGTAGTTCTCCGCTCGGGTCCGGTCGGGTAAGGGTCGTGCCGGTCTGCCCGATCGACACGACGGAACAGTTCGATGGCCGCGTGCCGAGATGCTGGTGTGGCGACGCATGTGTCGTTGGGCTGCGTGGTGAGGGCAGTCGACGAAGAGCCGGGCAGGTACATGGGTGAGATCTTGTAACGCGCATCCCGGTGATGTCGTTCTTCTGAGTCGGCAAGGTGAGGTAGGTCCGTGGCCCAAGGCAGTCTGTTGCGTCCAGAGCTGATGTCGAGGCCCCTGAGGAGCCACCAACAGATAATGGTCACTTTCGGCGTAGTTGAGGGAGTCAAGGCTGTCGGAGGGGTCGGACGGGAACTGGTTGTTCGGCGCGTCTCGGTGAGCTTCCGATGTTCTTGCCTGGCCTGCATGGTACAGGCGCCCATAGTCAGGCGCAACCTCAGTCATCGCCAAAAGCTGGTCATGCTGCACTACGTCGTTGAAGCCCGAGGGTGCAGCGATGGCAAAGGTCCAGGGTGGATTCCAATTCAAATGCGGGTTCAAGCCCTTTCGCTTGCCGTTGTTACTTTTAACACAGGTGTTAACCGCAACAACGAAACGCTCCAGAGAATTCGACAGCAACTGGTGTCGGTCTGACTGTCTTCACCACACTGCCTCAAATGGGTGGGATCGTACCTGTTGGTCGATCAGCAATCTTTCTCTGGAGTCGATGTCGGTGTCTCTCAGACACCACTGACTCAAAAATAGAGCACAACTGAATAAAGGTGAGCAAATGCCAAAAGCAGCAAGGTATCAGAAGGGAGTGGACGTTCCCCCGTCCGCGCGATCAATGCTCAATTCAGTGACCGATACGTACTGGAGGCATGCACTGACGAGGGGTGAGGGAGGGTGGGAATGAAAAGGTCTTTTCGCCAAAATGGCAAGCGGTGTGAACGCACACAGCTCATGCAAGGGTGCAGCACTTGAGATTCCAATTCAAGTGCGGGTTCAAGCCCTTTCGCTTGCGGTTTTTTCCTTTGACACAGGTGTTAACCGCAACAAACTCCTCGCATCACTGGACAACAACATGTCTTGGGTCATGTTGTGGGCAGGGCTGGTGTCTAAGAAGTGAGAATTCAACGTTTGTAGGCTAGCTGTGCTGCATGGGGATCGCAAACAATATCGCTTTGCGTTGCTTCACCAATCTCGTTGACAAATCGGGGACCGTGAGCCAACCATGAACGACGGAGTTTACCCCGTGAAACAAAAGTGAATTTGCACCCCCTCCTAGGTCCAAGCACCACTCGGCATATTGAGCCTGCTGACTGCAACACT